GCCCGCCAGCATCGGCGCCGCGCGCAGCGAAGGCGACGATTGAATCCAGCGCCTCCAGGGCGCGAGCGACCTCGCTTCGGCCAAGGCTACGGCCAACGCCAAGGCCAAAGCCAAGGCCAAAGCCAAGGCCAAAGCCAAGGCGCCGCATGACCCGTTCGCGGACGAGCCCAAACTCTCGACGCTCGAGGAGGCTCTCACGGCAACCCACGCGCGGAAACACGTGACGGGCTTTTTTTTGGAAAGAGGGGGTTCGCGCAGGGGCCTCCAAGCACGGGGCAAGCTGTGGGCCTCGCGAGCGAAAGACGCCGAGGTGCTCGGGGCCAGAAGTCTTGAGGCCTCAACTTTCTCCGTCGAGAATTCCTGCCACAGCGAGTGGCCCGCGGACGTCTCGAGCCGCCGGCCCTCCCGAGGAAAGCAGCCGCGCGCGAAGGATCCCCCCTCCCGGGAAACTCCCATTCCCCCCATCTCATCCAGGGAGGCCCTGGCAGAGCGAACGGTTGACCAGTATGCCATATTATGTTTCAGTTGTCGCGGTCCTACGACCCCCTATCCTGGGAGGTTCCGCCAGGGCGAGCAGGGGATTCCTGTACCGTGCTATATGTCAGGCCCCATGCTCCTCCGATCCTTCCAGGGAGGCCTTTCCTGAGCGAGCAGGGCCTGGCTAAACCATGTTGTTTCTAAGGTTTCGCGCTCCTCCGAGCACTCCAAAGGAGATTCTGCCAGAGCGAGCAGGGCATGGCTACACAGTACTATTTCTCAGGTTTCGTATTCCTCCGACCCCTGCAAAGGGGGCCCGCCAGAGCGAACACGATCACGGTATTCCAGATTTCCATCGCATCTTATATACGAGTTGCCGGGAGAATGATTGAGCATCCCCCCCGAACCCCTGTCCAGTGATGATCAGAGGCGTAAGATCAGACTCACAGGGAATGCAACGAGCCGAAACGGGGATGCATACACAATCGCCAGATGGGGCGGATATTATACATTCAGGACTGATGGGGCCTAGAAACCTCCAAGTTAGTATTCACCGCTGGCTGGGGTCTCGGGACGTAGGTTCCCCTGGCGGCGGTTGTGGGTATATCCTGTCGCCGATTTATCGGCGAAGTATCGCCGATGCCAGGTCGACGCTTCCCCTTTCGATCCGCTCCCACCGTGCCAGGACCCCCGACGTCGTGATTTCTCAACACGTGGGCCCCCAGAGGTCTGGAACCCTTCCCTGGGACCCGCTCCCCATCGTGGGCCGTAGGCTGACGGCCCCGGGGCCCGGCGAGGGCACGCGGAGGCCGAATACTGTAGACCACCCAAAGGGGTGCAGTCTTGGGGTCAGAATTCGGTTCTCGGGCGGCCGTTATGGACGATCCGCGTACGCTCAGAACGCTTCCGACGAGGCGCAGCTGTTGGAGGGCATCCCGAAGCTGGAACTCCGCTGAGGACCGACGAGGCATGCCCCAAAGCTTCCCTGCTTTTTTTTACCGTTCCCCCTCAGAGGCGACCTGGGCCACGGAGTGGACTTTCTTCGCATCGCCGGCTCGGGCGGATGTTTGGCGGCTGCGCCGCGCGCGCCCGCAACCCGCGCAGCGGGCCGCGGCGGCAGGCGCGAACCAGAGCGGCGGCGGGGCGGCGGCCGCTGCCGCCAGGGCCCGCGTGGCGGCGGAGGGCGGCGCCGCGTGGGGGCGAGGCCTCCACCTCTGGGAGGATCCAGGCCTCCTACCCCAGACCCCCCTGGAAATTCTTGGCGCAAGGTTCCTCTCCACTCTCGGCCGCGAGGGGGCGCCAATTGGGTTTCGAGGCCGTGAGAACACGAGTCAGGAGGAAAAGCCGGTTCCCCGGAAAGGGTCCAGACCGTTGGGGGTCCACGTCATGAAGAGAAACATGACGTCGCGGTGTCTGGGAGATGGGGTCGGAGTAGATGGGGTCGGAGGACCGCGCCGCACCGCCGATGCATCGGCGGTGCGGCCCATATGTGGAGCCAGATTTTCTCCATGCGGGCGCCGATGCACCGCCGACGCCGCCGATGCATCGGCGATGCCTCGTAGATGCATCGACGATGCGGCGCGATCCTCCGACCCCAGATTCTTGGACCCATCTGGGAGACCTCCAGAGGAGGTGTTGCGCCACCTGCGCCCTGGTGGCGGGAACGCCTCGGCATCCGGCGCGGAGCCGGACGGCGCGCTGCTGCCCCTGGGAAGTTGCCGCTGGATCGCGCACGTGAGCGCGGGGACGTACGTCAACGCTGCCCGGCTTGCGCAGCGTCTGCAGTGTCTGGAGGCCATGAGCGCTGTGTGGATTTGGTATCGTTTGCCGTGTGGGCCTCATGGGGATTTTCGCACGCACGCGGCACGTTCGCTTCCTCTTTCAGGCCACGGTTCACGGCCTGGTTTGGCCCATCGCAGGTCGCCCTGTGCAGGGCTCCCGGCCTGCATGGCGTATTTTTGATTCGCACAGCGGTTGAGGCCGAGTCATGTCAATTCATGTGGTCGCGGTCCCTCTCTCCTCA